CATTTGATTATCACAGTCTGATTTCCGTCGTACGTGTTTGTTCTGAAACATTTGTAGATAGAGTCGTGATATTACAATATATATCCTCGATTTAGATGATATTGATAACTAGAACAATCATAGGTTTTGTTGGAAATAGTTATAATGAGTGGATTTGCTTTAGAAATAAAAACCAAATCGGCACTCAAAACGTATGCTAGATTAAATATTTTTTAAATATTTTTTTAAAACTAGCTGACCTAGTTCCTTAATTAACAATGTGATGCTTAAAACTGCTATTTATCTTCTTCTATATGATTTCTACTGAATGATAAAAAGTTAAAATTTTAGATAATATTTTTTGTTGCAATTGTATTATTTTCCGAATATTCCGAATGTATTATTTTCTTATATATCATATGAGTAACATAATTCATATGATCTTGATTTTATCCTATTCAAATAATGTATATATGTATAGCATAATATATATATATACACATTGATTCTTGATTTCATTTCGACATCCAGCGTGATACATTCGATCAGGATGAATATCGTTCAAATAGATTAATATATCTCTAGAAATAAATATATATACATATATATATATATATATATAATTATATATATATGTATGTGTGGTGTGTGTATAATCTATTGAACATTAATTCGACGTCTTCCATGACGCAATTAAGGACACTGTCCAAATATCTTGATATGACACTCGTCTTGTCTCATGACTTTGTTCTCAATTCAAAATTTTTAGATTAGTATATATTGTTACAGAATTAAAAAAGACATAGAAGTGATTAATTATAGTGTGGAAGATATAAAACAAACAAACGCAAAAAATCTCAATATAAATCGTAAATTTAGTTCACAATATTTATAATCTATTTAAAATTGATATAATTAGTGCAGACTATATTACTATTACAATTCGTAATATCTACCGCGGAAGCAAAAGATTATCAGCGATCCGCCGAAATCGACCCCAGCGCAGGGTCACCGTCTACAGATTAAGATAAAACTGGGAAAAAAATATAATATGTAAGATTATTGATGGAATTATTTTAAAAAAAACTGTTCCGAGATCCGCTGATCTCAAATTATTATCTGTAGTCGTCATCAAAATAAACATATGTATGTGTTTTGATATAGACTTGACACAGTTATTGAGTTGGGTAAATGGAATGCCTAATTCTATGAGTATAAATGGTCCAATGGCTTTGCTCATTGTAATTAATGAAATTTCTATAAAATCATTTATAGTTTTGTTATAATTCATTCTATTTTTAGATATTTAAAATATAATGTTCTAAGTCGATCAATTACATTTCTCATTAAATCAACATACCACAACACATGGAGCGATGCGGGTTAATCCTTCAACTGTGACCTGTTCGCATTTAATTGTCCAAGACTGAGGCGTCAGAAAAGCACATGAGAAATATTTATAGTTAAATTCAATATATTTATGTTAACAAATGCAATTTGTGCAAAATACTGGGCAAACCGTGTAATTTTTTTATCCATGAGTAGCAAAGGAGTAGAACCGATAAAACGAACAGAACCGAATACACCTGTAATAATTCGTTGAATACATTTTCTTGATTTTCGCAAATATTTTGAAAAATACTTCTACATAAAGTGTTTAGTTTGAAACAATATATTTATTACGGTATTTAGTTAATGATTACTTCTTTTATCATCGTGGCTTGATTTTTATAAGCAGCTTCATTTTTATCGTTGGTGAATTTAATAGGCAGGATACAGCTAGACATAAATTTTACAACCAGGATTGAACTGTGGTGAATATTAATTGCTCTATGTGAGTAATAACAGCAAATAAAATCTAAGATATCCAAGTCATAATAAAGATGTACTATAGATATAAGACAAAACATTCATTGTTTCGATGCTATCGATATGCAATCATAATCTTAGCTATGCGCTCGTGTTTGCTCGATCCAAGAATGCAGGAAGCGCATCCAGTGTAGTACTAGAAATTATAATAAAACTATAACAAATTATATTATTTTGCAACTGCAAGGGATCAGGTCCAATTCCTTGATACGTCTTGTGACAGCCTGAGATCAAGTAGTAGTGTAATCCGTTTTCAAAAAATATAGATCATCGAAAGTACTTTCTTGGAGCATCGTTGGTATGGATTAAAAATATGATTACAATTTAAAGTATAATATAATAGTATAATATATCACAATTAGAACGGTTTTTTAAGATTATATGAAATATATAGATACGATAGCCATTAGGCTACCTTTTAGAAAAGTCATGAATTGTTTAGAGAGGTTGTTCTGATTCATGTCCAAAAACAAAAACAAAAATTTTAGCATATATCTGATGATTGATATCAAAATCACTATGATCTTACATCACTTTCCAAAATTAGACTGCAACTGAGTAACAACAAGCTCCTCTTACCATTGTTCAATCCTCCTAACTCGAACCAGATGCAGTCGCCTGGTCGTCCACAAAATTATCTATTTGCTGAAATCTAGATTTACTGTATCGCGTCATGGTAACGTGTTCCTCGGTACACTGTGCCATATAATAGCTTTAATCTGGGTTAAATGGGGTCAACTTAAAAACATGTGCTCATCTAAACGTTTATGAATTCCATACGCAATGGATACATTTCGTAGGCAGTGTTGGCGAGATCGGTCGTTTATTCGCTTATTCGCAGTATCTGCTGACAGTAGTAAGTAGTGTCAGTATCGAGACGACTCGGAATCTGTCCTTGTGTGGGCACGTGCGCCTGCACGACAACGCACTGCGGAAATATTCGTATGCAGCAATCAGATGATGGATGGATTTATTGATCAGATGATCTTGTAATAGTTATTGGAATATTTTTTTTTAAACAGCAATCAGAACCTTACGTTCTATGAGCTGTTTGGCTGAAACTTCTCCTCACCTCGTATTTTTAGATGGGAACCCAATGTTTAATCCATCCATATTTGATGATTTTTGTTATTAGAATTAATCTAATAGGGCTGACTTTTTATTGGTGCAACAATTCCGGGTGAGGGCTATTTTCACTTGGAAACATTTTACTCTCTATATTTCCAAGTGAAAATCGTTGTCACTGCTGTCTGACAATAGGCTGCTCGAAGTGGGTATCAAACCCGGGACCTCTGAAACAAGTCCCGTCGCTCCTAACCTCTTACCTATGGGCGAGCTTATTGGAATAAATGTCTTTAAGTGGTTCAAATATATATATTAAATATTTATGATCAGTCTCTTTCAACTATCAACCATTTTTTTTAAATAAAAAAATGTAATAGTATTACTTTTATACAAAACGAGTATTTCTATTATGCCCATTTTATGCCTTTAATTTGCATTTATCTAAAATGTGGCAAATCGTTTTTTTACAATAACATTTTTTCTAATATAACTGTCGATGGATATTTCTCACAAGGATGACGTCAGGTTTATTTTTCTGGGATTTTGATGCAACTTCACCTGGTGACAGAGTTTATAGATATACTGAACAGTTTAAAATATTATAAGTCTATGAGAAGTAGTTTAATTATAAAAATTAATTGAAGTTTTGAAAAATAGACCGCGAGCAATACTTACGCCTACAGAGTACATCTCAACATTGCATTAATAATACTATATTTTTTTCGTATTTTTATTTGCGAATTTTTCCAAAAAATATCCATGATCTGATTCATCAATATCCTCTAAGTTATTAATTATATCAACATATTTTGAATTCTTGCAATTCGCACATCACATATGCCATTATATAATCTTCATACATTCTTATTTGGTTAATCTTATCAATTTTGTCTACATCTGATTCATTGATGTATTTGAAGTTAATAATTGAGTAAACTATTTCATACTGGAGGTATTTGATTAATATTAATAAGAAAATCGTAACCTCTTGTGTTGCTAAATCACAGTATTTGTCCTTTATATGTGGTCATATTCGAAAATACTCTACTCCGCCATCAAACATCACGTATTTTTAGTTACAAGAGAATATAGTAAAAAAAATTAATTTTTTAAAGTGTTTAGATTTTTTTAATTCAGATAGAAAATAAATATACGTGATCTTTTACTATACCCCTCCTTCCCTGACGTGATATTCCTTGACTTTTTGTCAAACACTCCCTCCCTCTAAAAACCTCACATGATTAATGAACGCCCTTTTAACTTAAGAATTGCAAACTTAGAAACGTATTTTCTTTAGTTTTTATATAATCAACAATTTCCATACTTTATTCTTCTATTCCAGACTCAGGCTCTGGCCTTGACATGCAGCAAATCGCCTATTCCGGCGCCTATTTCCGCGCACAACGAGCGAAACACATCACCGCTGGCGCTTAGCCCGCGAGAGAGGCGAGAAGCCAGATCATCCACGCCGAATGCGTCGGCGGGACACATTACCGCCGCGGCAATAGACCATACCGCGGCCGCTCTCGGCGGTCGGATGGCGCACAGTCAGCCACCCAGTCCGGTCGGCAAAGAGAGCTTCGATCTGACCAAGGCGTGCAGCGGTAAGTGATATAAAGGACACATTTATAATATTATATATGTATGTATATATATATATATATGTATATATATATATATACTAGCAAACCCGACGAACTCCGTTTCACCACCAGATGGTTTCGTGAGAAAGATGAAGAAATTTTTTGTTTGTTTTATATTTTAAAAGAAAAAATTTGATTTTATTATACAACAGTAACGAATTTATTTTGATTACAAAAATGAAGTGTTTTTTAGTTGAACTTCTCTAAGTAAATGAAAGTGAATCCGCAAATTATCCGTTTCATGGAAGTGATCTTTGGTAAGCCACATTTTTTGTTTTTTGGTCTGACGTTAACACAAACAAAGCGGATAGTTTTTCAACTCGTGAACAGGCAACGTATAACTGCCCATGTGAAACACAATGATTTTCTAAATAATCTATTTGAAATTTATCCCGCAAACACTAAGCGATTGGCCTTGCGACACATTATTGCGAACGCAAGGCGAACTGGAATTTGCAATCGTTTGAAGTCAAACGAAAGACCAGTCAGAATCATTGATATGTCACCAAATCGCCAGCAATTTTTGATTGAATGGTGAAATTCAGTGCGTGTACATCATTATTCTTTGCGGCAAGAATTGCTCGTTGACTTAACCAAGCATAATTCTGATAATTCTCACTAATGTCATTACTCGAATTTTTAATTACGGTGCGTGAAGTTCCAGCAGCTTGCATTAAGGCACGATGCCATGCACAACTAATTTTTTTAGCTATAAACCTTGCGGAGCCCGAGACCTTTCCAACGAATGCAAAATTGTCGAAATCGGTTCGTGCGTTCTGGAGTTATTTCGTCAGGAAGGAAAATTCGACTTATTCTTATATATAGAAGATATACTCGTATGTATGTATATATGTATTCTAGTTCCATATAAACTTTTCCCCGGACGGATTTAGCAAGAAACGTTATCATAATTATTTTTTAGAACAAAAGAATTAATCACAAATTCCTAAATATAGCGGATAGAACAAAATTCTCGTGCACGAGTCGTATTGGACGGAAGCCGGCTGTGCGAGATAAGATTACGGATTACGGACGCTAGCCGGACGCTAGATAAAGCGTAATATCCCATCTACAGAGCAAGGGCACTTCCGATGGATACACCACGGTTAATCCTTTAGCACAAAACAATGACCATGGAATCAATTCGCGATTATAAACTAGAATCACAATAATTCCGAATACCTATGTAGGATTATTCATGAATTTAAATTAGATTCGCGATTATAAATCATCCATAGATTCATAGAAATCATATATAGGAATATTCGCACTCGATGCATCATAGGGCGGATAAATAACCATTTACTAAATCATTGCCCAAGTTTTAGCTTTGACACTTTCTTTTTAAATTTGTAATAAAAATAACAGTTGTATAAATAAAATTTAATAGTTGTTAAAATTCTCAAAAATCTATTTTTTAAAAGATTTCAAAAAAAAATTAAAGCTTTTGAAGGTTTGAAATTACGGTACAGAAAGGCTAACAATTTGCCTTAACCACTAGTTTTTATTTCAATATAGAAATGAGAAGAACTTGACCATGTTGATTACATAATTTTTAATCATTTTTTTATTTAATTAAATACATACTCACAACTTGAACTAATTATGAGGCACAAAGCAAAGCAAAAATAATAAGTATTAAAAATGACTCTCTAGTTCTTAATACTTCTTTGACTGATGACAGAAATTAAGAATATGTTTGCCTACATATGCCTACATATGTGGCATTAATATACTAGTGTTTTAAGGCATTTTGAGCCTTGTTGGATGAATAATATAAATATAAAAATAAATTCCCAATCAATTATCCAAGTCAACCATTATTGTTATTTTGTATATTTTTATGTCATTTACCATTGCGTAGTTAATAAAATTAAATGAAATCAATCAGGTAACTCAAAAATAAATGCGGCATTATATTTGAAACGCGGGCTAAATTAATGCGTAATACCGTTATGTATAAAATGTTCCCTGCTATTCGAATAAAATATCGCATTCTATATAATCATCAATAACGCAAATTTTGAGCCACATTATCTGCACGCCATAATGAATTGAATTAAGGATTACAAAACGTTTTAATAATTCCATTTGTGGTCTTCACAACTAATTGATTGCATAATTTTTGATATGTTGTACGCATTCGGGGATATGGCGATTAATATTGCACAAATATATACACATATGCCAGGCTGGATGAAAAGGGATGAAATTCATTGGTTTTATCCAAAAATCATTAGTACAACTGATATAATGTGCGCCAACGTTTATTGATTAACGCGAATTGGAATACACATTCATTTGAAAGGCGAAAAAATCATATCAAATAAATCGTCAATCAAAATGTAATAGAGCTTTGAAGTTATAATACTGGGACTACATTAGCATTAACATTTTGTGTAATCGTAAATGGATTTTTTTAGTAGTTTTTTGAAGAACAGCTGGTTGGATGTTCAAAAGATATTTAAATATCAGAAATTTGATACATGTACGATTTTCAGATTTTTTTCTTGATTTTTAGAATTATAAATATATATTTTTTTAATAATTTTTAAACACCATGTCTTTATGATCCATATGTGCCAATATATAAAAAATTGTAATATGCATATAGAGTTACGTTATTACAAAATATAATTTACTATTCCCAATTACCAATATACTTCAATGAGTCTATTTAAAATCATAGTACAACTAATAAATCTTTCGTGTGTTTTTGTGTACCATTGTATGTATCCTACTATGAGGTAAAGTCGGGCGTCGGTTCAGGGTCAGAGAGGCGGCAGCGGGAACATCGGCGGGAACGGGAGCGATCAGATCCAAGTGTAAATCCGCGAGTCGCTCTGATGAATCCCCGAGCTTAATCCGCGGATTTGTCTAGCCGGCACGTGTGTGGCGGTGTGTGCGTGCGGGTTTATCTCATTCGTGATATTCGGAATGTAGCAATAGGATACATGTATAATACTATATACATACATACATGCAGACACACGTACACACTTACACACACATCATATAATTCGTTGAAATAAAAATCCTGAATTAATAATGTATAAGGGTATTAAGCAACATGGATATTTACATGTTGCAGGATATTGATCGATTTTTGGCTGATATAGTTTATTATATGGCCTTACATATTATTGGTATTTTTGCAGTTGCAAATTTTTGCATTATTGGTATTTTTGCAGATGCGATGGCAATTTGACATCAAACAGCAGCGATGTCCATTTTCACTTGAAATTATAGTTCAAAATATGTTTCTAATTGAAAATAAGTCCATTTTTGGGCACTGCGGTGTGAAATGGCAATGGCAAATTTGCTTTCTTTTACACTATTCTTCCCTGAATCGAGTTGGAGTTTAACTCAACTCACGGACCTGCCATAGGGCAGACCCCCATTACAGTTGCAAATAATTTCAAATATTACCATGTATCAACAAGGGAGAGGGAGTTTCAAAAATCCTTAAAAATCGTGATTAATGGACGCTCCCTTAGGTTTCCAGAGCCTAGAATAAAACTTAGGAGTTTTCTATTTCTAAATACTATTTAAAAGAAAAAGTTTCTTATTACATTCGAATCCTATAGTTTTTCGCGGTAACGATCGCGCATGTTGGCATTGCGTGCGGACTGATCCGTCCTACTTAATCCTTATATTAGGATTAGGGATACGCCGTCAAAGGGATTAGAGCGGATCGGCTTCGCGGAACACAAATGTAACGCGAACCTTTTTATTAGACGAACGAAATATACGAGGAGAGGGACACATTCACATAGAGGAAAATGTCATATAAAACTATTTTTTATTAAAGGAAATAAGAAAAGTATTACATTATAATTATTGGATCAGTTCCTGAATTGCTCTGAAATATAATACACTTGTATCATATTATAGTATTGCAATTAAACGAATACTATTTTTTCCTGATGAACCCAATAATACACATGGGTGTTTCTTATAATAGTTTACATTTTATCACTCCTCTATAATATGCATCTTTATGAGATGTACATTTCTCTGACGATATTTCGCTTTTTATTTACCCCGGCAACCTCAATATTGAATCATTTTTCGTTATTCCTACATGATGCATATGCGAACACGCACAGGTCTCTTTTTTCGTATAGGTTTACCCATATTTTAAAACGCGTTCTCTGATTCCATTGTGATCTGTCGCAACGGTTTAGCGTTTGCTCTGTGGGCTATGATAAAAAAATGTATATAGATTAAAACCGTGCCGAATCCTTAATCCGATTTATAATAAAAAGGAAATATCAGTGACGTGGCGGTGGACGGGCACAATGCCCGAGGAGATGCGATGACGATTTTTTTGTTAAAGGATTATCTATAAATACAGGTGCCACATGCATGCATGAATTAATAAATTTCAAAATCTGAAATATTTATTATATCTATCGGAATTTCTTGCACGAACCGCGCTCACCACAATGATAGGAGGAATAAAATGCTGGATAGTGTTTTATGGCAGTCCTAAGTCGGGTGTTTTTTGTTCGTGAATTCATAATTCCTAAATTTATGACAAGGGTGCCAAAAAATCATTTGATCTACATGCATATGCATTTTTTACAAATAGAAATTGATGTGATTGATTTCTATATTCTGGGGTATTTATAATTCTTGATGTAAGTGATGTCATTTGAGGTTTTCTTATCATGTATCAGGTGTACATGAATTTTGAACATTAAAAGATTTAATATGTGAGTAATGTAAAGTTCTTAAAACTTTAATTTTACTGCCTTCATTATCAATTATTTTTACAGCCTGTATTTTATAGGCTTAGCATTGGCGCTTCGACCCGGACGCCAACGCAGCCATAAATCACGGTCTTCGAAATAAGTTTTATTGACGGTTATTTTATCTTTTACAAATTTTCACATTTATTTGGGACATAAATACAATTAGTTTACCCACTGCACTATCGATTTTTCCATATTTCCAAG